TTTTGGTGAATTGAAGATTTTGATGATTTGACGTTTTGGTGAATTGAGAATTTGGTGATTCAAATATTCAAAGACTTTGGTGATTTGAGGATTTGGATATTTGAGAATTTTTAGAATTTGAGGATTTAGTAATTTGAAGATTTAGGAATTTGGGGATATGGTAATTTGCAAATTTGAGGATTTAAAATTTTGGTGATTTGAGGAATTGGAGCTTTGTTGATTTGAAAATTTGGTGATTTAAACATTTGAGAATTTGAGGATTTGAAGACTGAGGTGATTTGAGGGTTTGGTTATTTGAGGATTCACTAATTTGAGGATATGATAATTTGAAGATTTGAGGATTTGAGGTTTTGGTGATTTCAGGATTTTAGGGTTCTGAGGATTTGGTGATTTGCGGACTTGAAAATTTGATGATTTGTTAAATTGAGAATTTTTAAAACTTGAGGACTTTGGTGAATCGAGGAATGGACGATTTGAGGATTTGGTAATTTGAAGATTTGAGGGTTTGTTGATTTAACGATTTCAAGGACTGAGGTTTTGATGAATTGAAGATTTTGATGATTTGAGGATTTGGTGATCTGAGAATTTTGATGATTTTAGGATTTGGAGCTTTGATGATTTGCAAATTTGATGATTTAATTTGAGAATTTGATGATGTAAAGATTTGAAGACTAAGGTCATTTGAGAATTTGATTATACAGTAATGATCGCGTATAGCGAACCGGTTAAAGTGAACTTCCTGATATAACGAACCAACTTGCAAAGTACGAACTGAAGTCCCATAAGATACGTGTTATTTTTTTCCGGTTATAACGAATCCGCTTATAGCGAACTTTCGGATAAAACGAACCAAATTTTTAATATTGAAGAAAAAAAAATCGTTTACAACGAACTTTTTCACCAGTCAGCTTTATCTGCACTACAAAATTACAGCCTATGGATTAGGGTATAATACATAGTCTAAAGAACAATTATCGACGACTTCTTCTTTCGAAAATGATTGATTCTATCGACAACGATTAGGAACACTTGTGTGTGGATCTATTAGATGCTGTCAATTTTATCAGTATGGTATGGCAAAAAGTATCAGAACAAACAATTGCTAACTGTTTTCGACATGCTGGGTTTCTACATGTGTGATGAAAAATTTGAACCAGAAGACGAACTACTATTGGTTGAATGGCTGAGAAAACATGAAAGCAATTCTGACGATGAATTTGATATCGCTTCGAAAAATACGTCCATTTTGACGACATTTTAGTGAAGTCTGAAATTTTGGATGATATTGTTAAATCAGTTCAATGGAACATTCAAACAGAAGATGAGACTGAAGACGAAGAAGATAACGGATTAACGGAGAAGAAGAAAAAGAGGAAACGATCCCAAAACCCTCCCAAGCGGTTTAATACATTAGGGCCGTTCGTCATTTTCTTCAGGCGCGAAACACTCCACACGGTATTTTAAATAAATTAGGCGAAATAGAATTGTATATGAATGAAATTAATTTTTCTCACAAGAAGTAAAATTTGAGATTATTCTCAGTAACAACTTTTATTTTTAATCAACTTTTTATTAATCAAGTTTTTTTTTCTTATATGTACTACTGTATTATTATCGTTACATGTTTATATTTTTGGAATACTTTTAAATGTTGTATACCGAAATACATAGTTAAGTTTATGAAAGTATATATTGATTTTTTTGAGATCATTTATAACGAACTTCGGATATAACGAACTACTTTTACCAGTCCCATGAGGTTCGTTATAACCGAACATTACTGTATAAGGATTTTAAGAATTTGAGGATTTTGTAATTTGTAGATTTAAGCATTTGAGGATATGGTAATTTGGAGATTTGAGGATTTGAGGTTTTTGGTAATTTGAAAGTTTGATGATTTACAGATTTGAGAATTTGGTGATTTAAAAATTTGAAGACTGAGGTGATTTCAGGATTTTAGGGTTCTGAGGATTTGGTGATTTGCGGACTTGAAAGTTTGAAGATTTGTTAACTTAAGAATTTTTAAAACTTGAGGATTTTGGTGATTCGAGGAATTGACGATTTGAGGATTTGGTAATTTGAAGATTTGAGGATTTGCTGATTTAACGATTTGAAGGATTGAGGATTTGATGAACTGAAGATTTTGATGATGTGAGCATTTGGTGATCTGAGAATTTTGATGATTTGAGGATTTGGAGCTTTGATGATTTGCAAATTTGATGATTTAAAGATTTGAGAATTTGATGATGTGAAAAGACTAAGGTCATTTGAGGATTTAGTTATATAAGGATTTTTAGAATTTGAGGATTTTGTAATTTGTAGATTTAAGGATTTGCGGATATGGTAATTTGGAGATTTGAGGATCTGAGGTTTTGGTAATTTAAGGATTTTGAGGTTCTGAGGATTTGGTGCTTTGAGGACTTGAGAATTTGGGAATTTTGATAATTTGAGGATTTAGTAAATTGAGAATTTTGATGACTTGGTAATTTGAGGATTTTTAAAACTTTAGGAATTTGGTGATTTGACGATTTGGTTATTTGGGGATTTCGGGATTTAGTAGTTTGAAGTTTTAAGGATTTGAGGATATGATAATTTGAAGAATTAAGGATTTGAAGATATGATAATTTCAAGATTTAAGGATTTGGTGATTTGATGATTTTGGGGTTCTAAGGATTTGCTGATTTGAGGGCTTGAAGAATTGAGAATTTTGATGATTTGAAGCTTTGATGATTTGAAAATTTGGCGATTTAAAGATTTGAGAATTTCATGATTTGAGGATTTGCTGATTTCAAAATTTCAAGACTAATTTGGTGATTTGACGATTTGGTTATTTGAAGATTTTTAGAATTTCAGGATTTAGTATTTTGAAGATTTAAGGATTTGAGGACATGATAATTTGAGATTTGAGGTTTTGATGATTTCTGAGTATTTGGTGATTTGAGGACTTGAAAATATCAGCATTTGGAGAATTGAGGATTTAGTGAATTGAAGATTCTAATGATTTGGTGATTTAACCATTTTTAAAACTAGAGGACTTTGATGATTCGAGCGTTTGATAATTTGAGTATTTGGTAAGTTGAAAATTTGAAGATTTGCTGATTTGAGTACTTGAAGATTTTCATAATTTGAGGATTTGATGAACTGAGAATTGTGTTGATTTGAGGATTTGATGAATTGTGTTGATTTGACGATTTGGAGTTTTGATGGTCTGAAAATTTGGTGATTTAAAGATTTGAGAATTTGATGTCAGGATTTGGTGATTTGAAAATTTGAAGACTTTGGTGATTTGAGGATTTGGTTATTTGAGGATTTTTAGAATTTGAAGATTTAAGGATTTGAGTATATGGTAATTGGAAAATTTGAGGATTTGGAGCTTTCATTATTTGAAAATTTTGTGATTCAAAGATTTGAGGATTCAGTGATTTGAAAATTTTAAGGTCAAGGTAATTTGAGGATTTTGGGGTTCTGAAAGATTTGGTGATTTGAGGACTTGAAAATTTGATGATTTGAGGATTTAGTGATTTGAAAATTTGAAGGCTAAGGTAACTTGAGGATTTTTGGGTTCTGAGGATTTGTTGATTTGAGGACTTAAAAATTTGAGGATTTGGTGAATCGAGGTTTTTGATAATTTGAGGGTTTAATCAATTGAGGATTTTGATGATTTGAAGGTTTGAGGAGTTGGTGATTTGAAGATCTGAGGAATTGAAGATTTGAGAAATGCGGTGATTTGAAGACTTTGTCTTCTACGATAAGTGACACTGAAACGGATTTATAAAAACTAGTCTAATATTCTACTACGTTTGCGTATGTAAATTTGAGATTTTGAGAATTTGAAGATATGGTGATTTGAGGATTTTGAGCATATGGGGATTTGTCAATTTTTCCCCATCTTATAAAACTTGTTCTAAAGGTATAAATTATTTTTAGAAACAAATTTTACAACTTATCCGGGCAAATATTTGTCAAATTTCTTAAAGTTAAAGCCTTAAGATTTCTTGGTATTTACCATATGACAGAAAAAAAAATCCTTTAGTACGCCGTAATGTTGGTATTGCAAACTGAATAAGGCACGTGTGGGTGTTGCCAACATCATTATTTCAAAACCAAATTGGACGGCCCACTAGAGCAGTGTTTTCGATTATATGGACAATGAAAAAACCTACTGAACAGAGAATTAAAAAAACTTATTGTATTAAGTGATACACAAAATCATATAATAATTTTTACCCAAAAAAATCACACGCAAAAAAACGAATCAGTTTTACGTCAAACGTTGGGAATTTTTTTTATATACCTACTTAAACATACATACATTTGGCAACATTTTACGAGTGATGTTTTAGAATTGACTCAGTTGGCGTAATTATATTCCCCTAGATGTAAATGTCATATGTATATGCGTCAGAGTTCTTTAGGTTATAAAAACGTCACACTTTTGACACTTCATCAACTGTCATTGACAAGAGTGTGAGGTTTTTATAACGTCACTGAATTGTCATCACATTAAGAAAATCTAGATTAAGTTTACATTACCAGAGATAGTCCGTCCAACGTCATCCATAAATATTTTAAATGGAAACCCCGTTCTCGACTAAACATCCCGCCACACATTAATCAAAAACTGCCCATTCCCCGACCTTGAACCACCCGAAATCCTACACCCAGCCCCGGCCGCGCTGCACCCCATCGCCCCCCGCCCCCGCCAAACATTGCACACGACCACCTCACCTCCGCCGCAAACAATCGCTCTCATCTCACTAAAAAATTGTATACACACGAGCACGCGGTAGTCAGTGCTTCTGTTGTGATAATAGTTCCAATGTCAACAAGCCGATAATTCCCATTGAACATAAAAGCGGGCCGGCGACCGCCGCGAAAAAACGCGTATTAGAACCTCCGCAAAAAATAATAATAATTAGAGTGTCCGCCAAGGTAACCCGAAGACGTCAAACGGCAAAGCGCCGCAGGTGCCGATTACGGTGTCGACAGTGTCAACTCACCTCGGCGAAGTCGTCCTCCGGGAAGCCCCACATCACCTGCACGTGCACTGCACCGGCCGACCTGGGGTTCGCGCGACCTGGCTTGACGCGGCGGGAATCACGAGGAAGTGGTGCTAAAGTCGGGCTGTCGACGACGCGAACGCAACATGTGATATGAAACGGTTTTTGGCGCGCCGGTCAACTCCAATTAAACTTGACGGTTCGCGCGATGATGCACGACGGAGCACGCAAGGTGCGCGTCTTGGGGGGCGGGGGCGGGAGGAAGCGGTGGGTGCTGCGGTCGCCGGTGACGGCGGAGTGAGAGCGAAGGAGCACGAGGAGTTTCAGCAGGTTGGAAACTGAAGTCCGGCGGTCTGTCTGTAGTCGGTCCGTTTGACGGCTGCCTCGTTTCAGTGGAACGTTTCTTAAAATATCTAGACTCTCAAGGAGCTCTCTCTTGTCTAAAAATTATGAAAACATTCAAGGACGTAGATATCGACATGCTGATTCCAAAAATATAGCATGTTGATGGTCACGAAGCAACATTTTCGAAAAAATCCCTGCGAAAAGCGAATTTTTGAAAATTTCAAAAATTTTGATATTTGAACGGTCGATTCTGGAAAAACGGTACCAATTATCAAAAAACCAAGGACGGATTTGAGTTCCAGAGCTCGAAATCTACAAGAAAATGTACTTACTTGAGTTTCGAAAATGTCAAAATTTTTGCGAAATTTGAAGAAGGGGGGACCGTTAAAAAATTTCAATTTTAAAAAAGTTGTCTAAAAATTATGAAAAAATTCAGGGACGTAGATCTCGACATGCTGATTCCAAAAATATAGCATGTTGATGGTCACGAAGCAACATTTTCGAATAAATCGCTGCGAAATTCTAATTTTTGAAAATTTCAAAAATTTCGATATTTTAACGGTCGATTCTGGAAAAACGGTTACAGTTATCAAAAAACCGAGGCCGGATTTAAGTTTTAGAGCTCGAAATCTACAAGAAAATCTACTTAGTTGAGTTTCGAAAATGTCAAAATTTTTGCGAAATTTGAAGAAGGGGGGACCGTTAAAAGATTTCAATTTTAAAAAAGTTGGCTAAAAATTATGAAAAAATTCAGGGACGTAGATCTCGACACGCTGATTCCAAAAATATAGCATGTTGATGGTCACGAAGCAACATTTTCGAAAAAATCGCCGCGAAATGCGAATTTTTGAAAATTTCAAAAATTTCGATATTTTAACGGTGGATTCTGGAAAAACGGTTACAGTTATCAAAAAATCGAGGCTGGATTTGAGTTCTAGAGCTCGAAATGTACAAGAAAATGTATTCAGTTGAGTTTCGAAAATGTCAAAATTTTTGCGAAATTTGAAGAAGGGGGGACCGTTAAAAAATTTCAATTTTAAAAAAGTTGTCTAAAAATTCTGAAAAAATTCAGGGACGTAGATCTCGACGTGCTGATTCCAAAAATATAGCCTACTGATGGTCGCGGAGCGACATTTTCGAAGAAATTGGTACGAAATGCCTAATTTATGGAAATTTCAAAAATTTCGATATTTCAACCGTCGATTCTGGAAAAACGGTTGCAGCTATCAAAGAATCGAGGCCGGAAGTGAGTTCTACGGCTCGAAATCTACAAGAAAATGTACTCAGTTAGGTTTCGAAAATGTCAAAATTTCGGCGAAATTTGAAGAAGGGGGGACCATTGGAAAATTTTCACTTTTAAAAAAGTCGTCTAAAAATTCTGAAAAAATTCAGGGACGTAGATCTCGACGTGCTGATTCCAAAAATATAGCTTGTTGATGGTCGCGGAGCGACATTTTCGAAGAAATCGCTACGAAATGACTAATTTATCGAAATTTCAAAAATTTCGAAATTTCAACCGTCGATTCTGGAAAAACGGTTGCAGCTATCAAAGAATCGAGGCCGGAAGTGAGTTCTACGGCTCGAAATCTACAAGAAAATATAGTCAGTTACGTTTCGAAAATGTAAAAATTTCGTCGAAATTTGAAGAAGGGGGGACCATTGGAAAATTTTCACTTTTAAAAAAGTCGTCTAAAAATTCTGAAAAAATTCAGGGACGTAGATCTCGACGTGCTGATTCCAAAAATATAGCTTGTTGATGGTCGCGGAGCGACATTTTCGAAGAAATCGCTACGAAATGCCTAATTTATGGAAATGTCAAAAATTTCGATATTTCAACCGTCGATACTGGAAAAACGGTTGCAGCTATCAAAGAATCGAGGCCGGAAGTGAGTTCTACGGCTCGAAATCTACAAGAAAATGTACTCAGTTAGGTTTCGAAAATGTCAAAATTTCGGCGAAATTTGAAGAAGGGGGCACCATTGGAAAATTTTCACTTTTAAAAAAGTCGTCTAAAAATTCTGAAAAAATTCAGGGACGTAGATCTCGACGTGCTGATTCCAAAAATATAGCCTGTTGATGGTCGCGGAGCGACATTTTCGAAGAAATCGGTACGAAAGGCCTAATTTATGGAAATTTCAAAAATTTCGATATTTCAACCGTCGATACTGGAAAAACGGTTGCAGCTATCAAAGAATCGAGGCCGGAAGTGTGTTCTACGGCTCGAAATCTACAAGAAAATGTACTCAGTTAGGTTTCGAAAATGTCAAAATTTCGGCGAAATTTGAAGAAGGGGGGACCATTGGAAAATTTTCACTTTTAAAAAAGTCGTCTGAAAATTCTGAAAAAATTCAGGGACGTAGATCTCGACGTGCTGATTCCAAAAATATAGCCTGTTGATGGTCGCGGAGCGACATTTTCGAAGAAATCGGTACGAAAGGCCTAATTTATCGAAATTTCAAAAATTTCGATAATTCAACCGTCGATTCTGGAGAAACGGTTGCAGCTATCAAAGAATCGAGGCCGGAAGTGAGTTCTGCGTCTCGAAATCTACAAGAAAATGTACTCAGTTAGGTTTCGAAAATGTCAAAATTTCGGCGAAATTTGAAGAAGGGGGCACCATTGGAAAATTTTCACTTTTAAAAAAGTCGTCTAAAAATTCTGAAAAAATTCAGGGACGTAGATCTCGACGTGCTGATTCCAAAAATATAGCCTGTTGATGGTCGCGGAGCGACATTTTCGAAGAAATCGGTACGAAAGGCCTAATTTATGGAAATATCAAAAATTTCGATATTTCAACCGTCGATACTGGAAAAACGGTTGCAGCTATCAAAGAATCGAGGCCGGAAGTGAGTTCTACGGCTCGAAATCTACAAGAAAATGTACTCAGTTAGGTTTCGAAAATGTCAAAATTTCGGCGAAATTTAAAGAAGGGGGGACCATTGGAAAATTTTCACTTTTGAAAAAGTCGTCTAAAAATTCTGAAAAAATTCAGGGACGTAGATCTCGACGTGCTGATTCCAAAAATATAGCTTGTTGATGGTCGCGGAGCGACATTTTCGAAGAAATCGGTACGAAATGCCTGATTTATGGAAATTTCAAAAATTTCGATATTTCAACCGTCGATTCTGGAAAAACGGTTGCAGCTATCAAAGATTCGAGGCCGGAAGTGAGTTCTACGGCTCGAAATCTACAAGAAAATGTACTCAGTTAGGTTTCGAAAATGTCAAAATTTCGGCGAAATTTGAAGAAGGGGGGACCATTGGAAAATTTTCATTTTTAAAAAAGTCGTCTAAAAATTCTGAAAAAATTCAGGGACGTAGATGTCGACGTGCTGATTCCAAAAATATAGCCTGTTGATGGTCGCGGAGCGACATTTTCGAAGAAATCGGTACAAAATGCCTGATTTATCGAAATTTCAAAAATTTCGATATTTCAACCGGCGACTCCGGAAAAACGGTTGCAGCTATCAAAGAATCGAGGCCGGAAGTGAGTTCTACGGCTCGAAATCTACAAGAAAATGTACTCAGTTAGGTTTCGAAAATGTCAAAATTTCGGCGAAATTTGAAGAAGGGAAATTTTCACTTTTAAAAAAGTCGTCTAAAAATTCTGAAAAAAAATCAAGGACGTAGATCTCGACGTGCTGATTTCAAAAATATAGCCTGTTGATGGTCGCGGAGCGACATTTTCGAAGAAATCGGTACAAAATGCCTAATTTATGGAAATTTCAATAATTTCGACAATTCAACCGTCGATTCTGGAAAAACGGTTGCAGCTATCAAAGAATCGAGGCCGGAAGTGAGTTCTACGGCTCGAAATCTACAAGAAAATGTACTCAGTTAGGTTTCGAAAATGTCAAAATTTCGGCGAAATTTGAAGAAGGGGGGACCATTGGAAAATTTTCACTTTTAAAAAAGTCGTCTAAAAATTCTGAAAAAATTCAGGGACGTAGATCTCGACGTGCTGATTCCAAAAATAGAGCATGTTGATGGTCACGAAGCAACATTTTCGAAAAAATCGCCGCGAAATGCGAATTTTTGAAAATTTCAAAAATTTCGATAATTTAACGGTGGATTCTGGAAAAACGGTTACAGTTATCAAAAAATCGAGGCCGGATTTGAGTTCTAGAGCTCGAAATCTACAAGAAAATGTATTCAGTTGAGTTTCGAAAATGTCAAAATTTTTGCGAAATTTGGGACCGTTAAAAAATTTCAATTTTAAAAAAGTTGTCTAAAAATTCTGAAAAAATTCAGGGACGTAGATCTCGACGTGCTGATTCCAAAAATATAGCTTGTTGGTGGTCGCGGAGCGACATTTTCGAAGTAATCGGTACGAAATGCCTAATTTATGGAAATTTCAAAAATTTCGATATTTCAAACGTCGATACTGGAAAAACGGTTGCATCTATCAAAGAATCGAGGCCGGAAGTGAGTTCTACGGCTCGAAATCTACAAGAAAATGTACTCAGTTAGGTTTCGAAAATGTCAAAATTTCGGCGAAATTTGAAGAAGGGGGGACCATTGGAAAATTTTCACTTTTGAAAAAGTCGTTTAAAAATTCTGAAAAAATTCAGGGACGTAGATTTCGACGTGCTGATTCCAAAAATATAGGCTGTTGATGGTCGCGGAGCGACATTTTCGAAAAAATCGGTACGAAATGCCTAATTTATGGAAATTTCAAAAATTTCGATATTTCAACCGTCGATACTGGAAAAACGGTTGCAGCTATCAAAGAATCGAGGCCGGAAGTGAGTTCTACGGCTCGAAATCTACAAGAAAATGTAGTCAGTTAGGTTTCGAAAATGTCAAAATTTCGGCGAAATTTGAAGAAGGGGGGACCATTGGAAAATTTTCACTTTT